ACCGCGACCAACAACCACAACCCAGAGGCATTCCAACATATAAAACGCCAGGTCGAAAGGTCGCATCCTGCTTTTGCCTTGTGAGTCATCCTCTTGGCACTCTGCCACGCGTACTTTCCCTCCTTCTCTTCCGCTTCCGAAGCTTCTTCATACACGTTTACTGCTGCTCGGAAACTCTCCTGCTTTACGGCCCTCGGTGGAGTCGTTTCTCCTGAGGAGGCAAGAATCGCGGTTTCTGTAGACTCACACCCCTAGGAATTCCTTTGCCCTAACAGGCAACAGGTAGGAGAAATGAGGGACATCGCCTCGGTGCTGGTCCAGAAATAGGTCACCGTACCGTATCCGGGGAAAGCCCCAAAAAGGGTCATTACCTAGGTGAAGTGCTTAGAAATATATCCCAATACCTCCTGTGGGTAGGACCACGTGAGAAGAGAAGAGTTAAATAGCCTAGAGGCTGTGCTCAGCTGTATGTCCCAATCAGCCCGGTGGGAAAAGCCAAGGCGTAATACGAGAGACAGGTCGTGTAGGTGCTGAGTCAGGTGAAATGTTCCATTTCAGTGTCGGTGGACACTTCCCAGGAAGAAGGGGGCGACACAGGCCACCCAGCAGAAGAGACCAAAAGTATGTCATGATGATACCTGTGGACGAGAACCCAGACAAGGGGACCGCATCGCCTGTGTGCCGGGCCCGGTGACAAGTCACTCTTTCTTTTGTAAGCGCAGCCCAGTCAGGCGAGCACAGTTACCTCACCTGGGTGCTGGGCCCAGAGACAAGCCACATCCGCTCCTGTGGGCAAAGAGCAGGGGTAACAAGACAATCACTGAGAATAGTTGAGTCCCCAGACATGACGTCACAATGGTCTCTGTGGGCAGGGTTCACGCAGGGGACTCACATCACATTGACTGTGGACTCAACAGTGTGTCGCAATGCTTTCTGAGAAGAGGGTCATGACAGAGAAGGAATGTAACTGGATGGCGGGCCCAGCAATATGTTATTGACTCCTATGTGAGCAGATATGAGGCAAGAGAAGGGAATCACAGCATCCTAGTTATGAGCACAGACATATGTCCCAAAGCCCCAAGCATGAGGTGCCAAGGCAGGAGGACAGTGTCACACGACCTAGGTGCTGGGTCCCACCCTACCCCCCACCCTCCGTCCCTCCCTCACTCCCTTCCCCCTCCCTCTCTCCCTTGCGTCCTTCCCTCCCTTCCCTCGTCCCTCCCTCGCGGCCTGGGATCCTCCCCGCTTCTCTACCCGCCTTCCCTCCGGCCTGGAGAAAGCAGCCCTTCCGTTTGCCCGCGGGGTCGTTCGTAGCGGGGCCGTGGGAGGAGTGGTCTCGGGTCTATATTGAGCTGCCAGGCGCTACTCGGTGATGGCGGGGAAGCTGGCGGGGCACCGGTGTGCGAGTGATCGGTGGGCGAATCGGGGAGGCAGAAGAGGGGTGCAGCGGAATGGAGAGCCGGCCTGCCTGGGGACCCGGCCCGGTGTTTCCGGGGGGGGGGGGCGAAACGCTCCCTCCGCCCACCCTCCTGAAGTAGGCCGGGTGGCGTGGGGGCAGGGCTGCGAGGAGGGCCGACAGCTCTGCCTGCGCTGGTCCCCAGAAGCGGCCGCGGGCTGCCTGCAGACCCGCGCACGCGCACTAGACCGCCCAGCTCCCGGGCCCTGGGCGGGTTCTGGGGTTCCCTAGATGCTGGGGAGAGAATGACAGCACAGCCCCGCCCTGTGTGCTGTCTCTCACCGGACGGACCTAGAACTGAGGGCTCCCAGGCAGGTCAGCGAAACGGCAAGACAGGCCGCAGGAGCCTCAAATCCATGCACACGCGCGCACGCGCACACCCAGCCGATCACAGGCTGAAGTCGGAAATCACGCTTCAATCGGCCCGAGGGTGACCCCTGTGGGGATGAGACTGCCTCGCGCTCCGTTGCAGGGTTCGCCGTGGGGATATGCCGTCTGTGAACCCCGTGGGTGAAACGAGGACTGGCACGCATCGCATTGAGCTCCCGAAATGCTTTAAGGCTGTGGGGTCCCTCCGTTGGTCCTGGAGGCAGGAGACCGCTCTAATCTCTGCCTATGTCCCTCTGTCCCGTGGTCCCTCTCTCTCCCCCTCTGTTCCACCCTGTTCCCGTCTTTCCCTTTCTTCCTCAGTCCCTCCAAACCTCGGTTTCTTCCTTTCTCTCCCCCTTTCTCTCTTTCTCCTTTTCACCCTCCCTTCGCTCCCTGGGTCCCTCCCTGTGCGTCCCTCCCTGTCCCTCGGTCCCTGCCTCCCTCCCTTCCTCCCTCTCTCCCTTCCGTCCTTTCCTCCCTTCACTCGTCCCTCCCTCTGGTCCTGGGATCCTCTCCCCATCTCTAGCCGCCATCCCTCGCGCCTGGAGAGGGCAGTCCAAGCGTTTGCTCGCGGGGTAGACGGGGTTGGGGGTGGGGGGAAGGGTGGTCTCGGGGCCGCACTGGGCTGCCCGGCGCTGCTCCGTGACGGTGGGAGGGGGAGGCTGGCGGGTTACCGGTGTGCCAGTGATGGGTGGGCGGAGCGGGGAGGCAAGAAGAGGCGTGTCGCGGATTGGAGAGCGGCCCCGCCTTCGGACCCGGCCCGGTGTTTCCCGGGCAAAGCGCCCCCTCTGCCCACCCTCCTGAAGTACGCGGGGTGGCGTGGGGGCAGGGCTGCGAGGAGGGACGACAGCTCTGCCTGCGCTGGTCCCCCGAAGCGCAGCGCCGCGGGCTGCCTGCAGACCCGCGCCGGCGCACTAGACCGCCCAGCTCCCGGGCCCTGGGCGGGCTCTGGGGTCCCCAAGATGCCCGGGATAGAAGGACGGCACAGCCCTGCCCTGTGTGTAGTCTCTCACCGGACGGACGGACCTGGCACTCAGGGATCCCAGACAGGTCAGCGGGAGGGCGAGACGCCAAGACACGCCGCTGGAAGCGGAGCCACACGGTCACCTCACGGCGGGAGAGAGGCCACCGCCCTGCCCCCACCCCTCCCCGACCCGCGCGCGCCTTTTAAAGCTCCTCCAGCAGAGCCCGGTATTCTTCCTCGCTGAGGGGTGGCTCCAGGGAAGCGAGCTCTTCCACCTCCTTCAGCTCCCCCAGTGGCTCCGTCTCTAGGAAAGGTCGTGCCTGCTGCTGAAACTCTGGGGTCGACAGGAGCTCGTCCAGCAGGCTGGAGGTGAGCGCAGACGAGCGCTCCTCCGGCTCCTGGAGCGCTTGGGAAGGCGCCTGCAGGGCTGGCATCTGCCCCTGCCAGGCGGAGGCCTCCGGGGGTGCGGGCTGCGGAGGTGGAGGTGGCGCGGCTTGGGGTTCCCCTGCCGCCCCGGCCACCTGGGGCCCCTGGCCCCAGCCCCACCAGGGACCCTGCACACCTCGCCCCTGTGAGTCGGCTTGAGCGGGCCCAAGCTGTCCCACGGAGCACGTCCCCGGCAGGCCGGCGTGCTGCGGCTCCCGCTCCTCGTGGCATCTGCCCGGGTGCGGAGGCCCCGGAAGGCTCTGAGGCTGGGGGAGCGCCACCCCCGAAGGAGCCAGGGCGGCGAACCCGAAAGCCCCGAGGGCCCCGAGCGCCGGGTCAGGTTGCGAGATTCCTTCTGCCTGTGGGGCCTGTCCGTGCAGGAGCAGGGGCACGGCCCCTGCTGCCTGGCTCACGACGGGCCCCTGTGGGAGGGCCCCAGGCGCGCAGGGCACTTGGGGTGCGGGAAGCGCCGCCCCCCACGCCCCGGTGTGGGTGGAGGCGACCCAGGAGCGAGCAGAGGAGCCGCGCCCGCCGGGGGCCGTGTCGCGCGGGCCGCCTGCGGCCGCGGGTCCCCTGCCAGCCCGGCCTGGATGCCTGGCCCTTCGATTCTGAAACCAAATCTGAATCCTGGACTCCGGGAGGCCCGTCTCTCTGGCCAGTTCCTCCCTGGTGGCGAAGTCCGGAAAGCGCTCTCGCTCGAAGGCCCGGAGGAGCACGGCGGTCTGGGACTGGGTCACGGCCGTCCGCTTTCGCCGGCCTTCTGGCGGGCCGCGTGGCCCAGGCCAGGGCCTGGATTCCCGCCGGTGCTGCCTCAGCCGGCGCGATCTCTCGTTCTGAAACCAAATCTGGACCCTGGGCTCCGGAACGCCGATGGCCTGGGCCAGCTGTTCTCTGGTGGCCATGCCCGGGTACGGGTTCCGCTCAAAGGACGCTCGCAGGGCGTCCCTCTGGCTCGGAGTCCAAACGAGCCTCTTTCGCCTTCCTCGCCCTCGGGCCTCCGCCGGGAGAGGGCTGCCGGGAGCTGTGGGGAGAGCCATCGCGGGGAGACCGGGCCGAGTGTCACAGACAGACACAGGCACACAGAGGCCCGGCGGCTCCCGCGCGCCTCAGCCAACCTCTGCTGTGCACCGCACCTGCAGGCAGGTCAAGCCAGGAGTCCGGCCCCGCCAGCCAGGGGCCGCTTTTATAGAGACCTAGCGGCCCCACCCCTTCCTGAATTTGCATGAGCTCCGGGGACCCAGGGCGGGGTAGCCCGCCCTCTCAAGCCGGAAACCACAGGGACACCAGGGCCCTGTGGGGTGGTCGGGGGTGGGGCCTGAGCGGCGGGGGAGGGACACGCGGGGCTTCGGGGGCTGGACCTCTGGGGTTCTCCAGGAATTCTACGGAAACTGGAAGCCTCTCTCCGGGCTCGAACACGTCACCAGGGAGGGTGGCGTGCAGAAGCGAACCCCCGTGACAGGCCTGAGTTTTCCAAGCCCCCCCTCTCCGTCAAGGCGTCCACGTCTGTGGGTGTCGCCGTGGCCGCGACACTCTCACACACGCAGCTGCGTGGATCCGGTTCGTGTTCCTCTAGAAAACGAGAGCGAAGGCACGGAGACAGAAACTCTCCCGGGCAGAGACGGCCTGACGAGGCATTCCTGTTTCCTGCCACACGGGGAGTCTCGGCAACCTGGATAGAAAGGGCAGCGACACGCTGCTGCTTTTCCACGGATCCCTGGGAGTTTCTGTTTCCCCGCCGAGCTCGGGGAAGAAAACGGTGAACGTCATCAGGTCACCACGACTTAGGAAGCCACAGAGAGCTGAGCGACAGGCACCCTTGCGGAGGTCACATACAAAAGTTAAAAAAAAATTAGCCGGGCGTGGTGGCAGACGCCTGTAACCGCAGCGACTTGGGAGGCTGGGGCAGGAGAATTACCGGAACCCGAGGGGTGGAGGTTGCGGTGAGCCGAGATCCGGCCATTGAACTCCAGCCTGGGCGAGAGGGCGAGACTCCGTCTTTTAAAAAAAGAAGAAAAACGAAACAAAACGAAAAACAAAGAAAGACAACACCGCGACCAACAACCACAACCCAGAGGCATTCCAACATATAAAACGCCAGGTCGAAAGGTCGCATCCTGCTTTTGCCTTGTGAGTCATCCTCTTGGCACTCTGCCACGCGTACTTTCCCTCCTTCTCTTCCGCTTCCGAAGCTTCTTCATACACGTTTACTGCTGCTCGGAAACTCTCCTGCTTTACGGCCCTCGGTGGAGTCGTTTCTCCTGAGGAGGCAAGAATCGCGGTTTCTGTAGACTCACACCCCTAGGAATTCCTTTGCCCTAACAGGCAACAGGTAGGAGAAATGAGGGACATCGCCTCGGTGCTGGTCCAGAAATAGGTCACCGTACCGTATCCGGGGAAAGCCCCAAAAAGGGTCATTACCTAGGTGAAGTGCTTAGAAATATATCCCAATACCTCCTGTGGGTAGGACCACGTGAGAAGAGAAGAGTTAAATAGCCTAGAGGCTGTGCTCAGCTGTATGTCCCAATCAGCCCGGTGGGAAAAGCCAAGGCGTAATACGAGAGACAGGTCGTGTAGGTGCTGAGTCAGGTGAAATGTTCCATTTCAGTGTCGGTGGACACTTCCCAGGAAGAAGGGGGCGACACAGGCCACCCAGCAGAAGAGACCAAAAGTATGTCATGATGATACCTGTGGACGAGAACCCAGACAAGGGGACCGCATCGCCTGTGTGCCGGGCCCGGTGACAAGTCACTCTTTCTTTTGTAAGCGCAGCCCAGTCAGGCGAGCACAGTTACCTCACCTGGGTGCTGGGCCCAGAGACAAGCCACATCCGCTCCTGTGGGCAAAGAGCAGGGGTAACAAGACAATCACTGAGAATAGTTGAGTCCCCAGACATGACGTCACAATGGTCTCTGTGGGCAGGGTTCACGCAGGGGACTCACATCACATTGACTGTGGACTCAACAGTGTGTCGCAATGCTTTCTGAGAAGAGGGTCATGACAGAGAAGGAATGTAACTGGATGGCGGGCCCAGCAATATGTTATTGACTCCTATGTGAGCAGATATGAGGCAAGAGAAGGGAATCACAGCATCCTAGTTATGAGCACAGACATATGTCCCAAAGCCCCAAGCATGAGGTGCCAAGGCAGGAGGACAGTGTCACACGACCTAGGTGCTGGGTCCCACCCTACCCCCCACCCTCCGTCCCTCCCTCACTCCCTTCCCCCTCCCTCTCTCCCTTGCGTCCTTCCCTCCCTTCCCTCGTCCCTCCCTCGCGGCCTGGGATCCTCCCCGCTTCTCTACCCGCCTTCCCTCCGGCCTGGAGAAAGCAGCCCTTCCGTTTGCCCGCGGGGTCGTTCGTAGCGGGGCCGTGGGAGGAGTGGTCTCGGGTCTATATTGAGCTGCCAGGCGCTACTCGGTGATGGCGGGGAAGCTGGCGGGGCACCGGTGTGCGAGTGATCGGTGGGCGAATCGGGGAGGCAGAAGAGGGGTGCAGCGGAATGGAGAGCCGGCCTGCCTGGGGACCCGGCCCGGTGTTTCCGGGGGGGGGGGCGAAACGCTCCCTCCGCCCACCCTCCTGAAGTAGGCCGGGTGGCGTGGGGGCAGGGCTGCGAGGAGGGCCGACAGCTCTGCCTGCGCTGGTCCCCAGAAGCGGCCGCGGGCTGCCTGCAGACCCGCGCACGCGCACTAGACCGCCCAGCTCCCGGGCCCTGGGCGGGTTCTGGGGTTCCCTAGATGCTGGGGAGAGAATGACAGCACAGCCCCGCCCTGTGTGCTGTCTCTCACCGGACGGACCTAGAACTGAGGGCTCCCAGGCAGGTCAGCGAAACGGCAAGACAGGCCGCAGGAGCCTCAAATCCATGCACACGCGCGCACGCGCACACCCAGCCGATCACAGGCTGAAGTCGGAAATCACGCTTCAATCGGCCCGAGGGTGACCCCTGTGGGGATGAGACTGCCTCGCGCTCCGTTGCAGGGTTCGCCGTGGGGATATGCCGTCTGTGAACCCCGTGGGTGAAACGAGGACTGGCACGCATCGCATTGAGCTCCCGAAATGCTTTAAGGCTGTGGGGTCCCTCCGTTGGTCCTGGAGGCAGGAGACCGCTCTAATCTCTGCCTATGTCCCTCTGTCCCGTGGTCCCTCTCTCTCCCCCTCTGTTCCACCCTGTTCCCGTCTTTCCCTTTCTTCCTCAGTCCCTCCAAACCTCGGTTTCTTCCTTTCTCTCCCCCTTTCTCTCTTTCTCCTTTTCACCCTCCCTTCGCTCCCTGGGTCCCTCCCTGTGCGTCCCTCCCTGTCCCTCGGTCCCTGCCTCCCTCCCTTCCTCCCTCTCTCCCTTCCGTCCTTTCCTCCCTTCACTCGTCCCTCCCTCTGGTCCTGGGATCCTCTCCCCATCTCTAGCCGCCATCCCTCGCGCCTGGAGAGGGCAGTCCAAGCGTTTGCTCGCGGGGTAGACGGGGTTGGGGGTGGGGGGAAGGGTGGTCTCGGGGCCGCACTGGGCTGCCCGGCGCTGCTCCGTGACGGTGGGAGGGGGAGGCTGGCGGGTTACCGGTGTGCCAGTGATGGGTGGGCGGAGCGGGGAGGCAAGAAGAGGCGTGTCGCGGATTGGAGAGCGGCCCCGCCTTCGGACCCGGCCCGGTGTTTCCCGGGCAAAGCGCCCCCTCTGCCCACCCTCCTGAAGTACGCGGGGTGGCGTGGGGGCAGGGCTGCGAGGAGGGACGACAGCTCTGCCTGCGCTGGTCCCCCGAAGCGCAGCGCCGCGGGCTGCCTGCAGACCCGCGCCGGCGCACTAGACCGCCCAGCTCCCGGGCCCTGGGCGGGCTCTGGGGTCCCCAAGATGCCCGGGATAGAAGGACGGCACAGCCCTGCCCTGTGTGTAGTCTCTCACCGGACGGACGGACCTGGCACTCAGGGATCCCAGACAGGTCAGCGGGAGGGCGAGACGCCAAGACACGCCGCTGGAAGCGGAGCCACACGGTCACCTCACGGCGGGAGAGAGGCCACCGCCCTGCCCCCACCCCTCCCCGACCCGCGCGCGCCTTTTAAAGCTCCTCCAGCAGAGCCCGGTATTCTTCCTCGCTGAGGGGTGGCTCCAGGGAAGCGAGCTCTTCCACCTCCTTCAGCTCCCCCAGTGGCTCCGTCTCTAGGAAAGGTCGTGCCTGCTGCTGAAACTCTGGGGTCGACAGGAGCTCGTCCAGCAGGCTGGAGGTGAGCGCAGACGAGCGCTCCTCCGGCTCCTGGAGCGCTTGGGAAGGCGCCTGCAGGGCTGGCATCTGCCCCTGCCAGGCGGAGGCCTCCGGGGGTGCGGGCTGCGGAGGTGGAGGTGGCGCGGCTTGGGGTTCCCCTGCCGCCCCGGCCACCTGGGGCCCCTGGCCCCAGCCCCACCAGGGACCCTGCACACCTCGCCCCTGTGAGTCGGCTTGAGCGGGCCCAAGCTGTCCCACGGAGCACGTCCCCGGCAGGCCGGCGTGCTGCGGCTCCCGCTCCTCGTGGCATCTGCCCGGGTGCGGAGGCCCCGGAAGGCTCTGAGGCTGGGGGAGCGCCACCCCCGAAGGAGCCAGGGCGGCGAACCCGAAAGCCCCGAGGGCCCCGAGCGCCGGGTCAGGTTGCGAGATTCCTTCTGCCTGTGGGGCCTGTCCGTGCAGGAGCAGGGGCACGGCCCCTGCTGCCTGGCTCACGACGGGCCCCTGTGGGAGGGCCCCAGGCGCGCAGGGCACTTGGGGTGCGGGAAGCGCCGCCCCCCACGCCCCGGTGTGGGTGGAGGCGACCCAGGAGCGAGCAGAGGAGCCGCGCCCGCCGGGGGCCGTGTCGCGCGGGCCGCCTGCGGCCGCGGGTCCCCTGCCAGCCCGGCCTGGATGCCTGGCCCTTCGATTCTGAAACCAAATCTGAATCCTGGACTCCGGGAGGCCCGTCTCTCTGGCCAGTTCCTCCCTGGTGGCGAAGTCCGGAAAGCGCTCTCGCTCGAAGGCCCGGAGGAGCACGGCGGTCTGGGACTGGGTCACGGCCGTCCGCTTTCGCCGGCCTTCTGGCGGGCCGCGTGGCCCAGGCCAGGGCCTGGATTCCCGCCGGTGCTGCCTCAGCCGGCGCGATCTCTCGTTCTGAAACCAAATCTGGACCCTGGGCTCCGGAACGCCGATGGCCTGGGCCAGCTGTTCTCTGGTGGCCATGCCCGGGTACGGGTTCCGCTCAAAGGACGCTCGCAGGGCGTCCCTCTGGCTCGGAGTCCAAACGAGCCTCTTTCGCCTTCCTCGCCCTCGGGCCTCCGCCGGGAGAGGGCTGCCGGGAGCTGTGGGGAGAGCCATCGCGGGGAGACCGGGCCGAGTGTCACAGACAGACACAGGCACACAGAGGCCCGGCGGCTCCCGCGCGCCTCAGCCAACCTCTGCTGTGCACCGCACCTGCAGGCAGGTCAAGCCAGGAGTCCGGCCCCGCCAGCCAGGGGCCGCTTTTATAGAGACCTAGCGGCCCCACCCCTTCCTGAATTTGCATGAGCTCCGGGGACCCAGGGCGGGGTAGCCCGCCCTCTCAAGCCGGAAACCACAGGGACACCAGGGCCCTGTGGGGTGGTCGGGGGTGGGGCCTGAGCGGCGGGGGAGGGACACGCGGGGCTTCGGGGGCTGGACCTCTGGGGTTCTCCAGGAATTCTACGGAAACTGGAAGCCTCTCTCCGGGCTCGAACACGTCACCAGGGAGGGTGGCGTGCAGAAGCGAACCCCCGTGACAGGCCTGAGTTTTCCAAGCCCCCCCTCTCCGTCAAGGCGTCCACGTCTGTGGGTGTCGCCGTGGCCGCGACACTCTCACACACGCAGCTGCGTGGATCCGGTTCGTGTTCCTCTAGAAAACGAGAGCGAAGGCACGGAGACAGAAACTCTCCCGGGCAGAGACGGCCTGACGAGGCATTCCTGTTTCCTGCCACACGGGGAGTCTCGGCAACCTGGATAGAAAGGGCAGCGACACGCTGCTGCTTTTCCACGGATCCCTGGGAGTTTCTGTTTCCCCGCCGAGCTCGGGGAAGAAAACGGTGAACGTCATCAGGTCACCACGACTTAGGAAGCCACAGAGAGCTGAGCGACAGGCACCCTTGCGGAGGTCACATACAAAAGTTAAAAAAAAATTAGCCGGGCGTGGTGGCAGACGCCTGTAACCGCAGCGACTTGGGAGGCTGGGGCAGGAGAATTACCGGAACCCGAGGGGTGGAGGTTGCGGTGAGCCGAGATCCGGCCATTGAACTCCAGCCTGGGCGAGAGGGCGAGACTCCGTCTTTTAAAAAAAGAAGAAAAACGAAACAAAACGAAAAACAAAGAAAGACAACACCGCGACCAACAACCACAACCCAGAGGCATTCCAACATATAAAACGCCAGGTCGAAAGGTCGCATCCTGCTTTTGCCTTGTGAGTCATCCTCTTGGCACTCTGCCACGCGTACTTTCCCTCCTTCTCTTCCGCTTCCGAAGCTTCTTCATACACGTTTACTGCTGCTCGGAAACTCTCCTGCTTTACGGCCCTCGGTGGAGTCGTTTCTCCTGAGGAGGCAAGAATCGCGGTTTCTGTAGACTCACACCCCTAGGAATTCCTTTGCCCTAACAGGCAACAGGTAGGAGAAATGAGGGACATCGCCTCGGTGCTGGTCCAGAAATAGGTCACCGTACCGTATCCGGGGAAAGCCCCAAAAAGGGTCATTACCTAGGTGAAGTGCTTAGAAATATATCCCAATACCTCCTGTGGGTAGGACCACGTGAGAAGAGAAGAGTTAAATAGCCTAGAGGCTGTGCTCAGCTGTATGTCCCAATCAGCCCGGTGGGAAAAGCCAAGGCGTAATACGAGAGACAGGTCGTGTAGGTGCTGAGTCAGGTGAAATGTTCCATTTCAGTGTCGGTGGACACTTCCCAGGAAGAAGGGGGCGACACAGGCCACCCAGCAGAAGAGACCAAAAGTATGTCATGATGATACCTGTGGACGAGAACCCAGACAAGGGGACCGCATCGCCTGTGTGCCGGGCCCGGTGACAAGTCACTCTTTCTTTTGTAAGCGCAGCCCAGTCAGGCGAGCACAGTTACCTCACCTGGGTGCTGGGCCCAGAGACAAGCCACATCCGCTCCTGTGGGCAAAGAGCAGGGGTAACAAGACAATCACTGAGAATAGTTGAGTCCCCAGACATGACGTCACAATGGTCTCTGTGGGCAGGGTTCACGCAGGGGACTCACATCACATTGACTGTGGACTCAACAGTGTGTCGCAATGCTTTCTGAGAAGAGGGTCATGACAGAGAAGGAATGTAACTGGATGGCGGGCCCAGCAATATGTTATTGACTCCTATGTGAGCAGATATGAGGCAAGAGAAGGGAATCACAGCATCCTAGTTATGAGCACAGACATATGTCCCAAAGCCCCAAGCATGAGGTGCCAAGGCAGGAGGACAGTGTCACACGACCTAGGTGCTGGGTCCCACCCTACCCCCCACCCTCCGTCCCTCCCTCACTCCCTTCCCCCTCCCTCTCTCCCTTGCGTCCTTCCCTCCCTTCCCTCGTCCCTCCCTCGCGGCCTGGGATCCTCCCCGCTTCTCTACCCGCCTTCCCTCCGGCCTGGAGAAAGCAGCCCTTCCGTTTGCCCGCGGGGTCGTTCGTAGCGGGGCCGTGGGAGGAGTGGTCTCGGGTCTATATTGAGCTGCCAGGCGCTACTCGGTGATGGCGGGGAAGCTGGCGGGGCACCGGTGTGCGAGTGATCGGTGGGCGAATCGGGGAGGCAGAAGAGGGGTGCAGCGGAATGGAGAGCCGGCCTGCCTGGGGACCCGGCCCGGTGTTTCCGGGGGGGGGGGGCGAAACGCTCCCTCCGCCCACCCTCCTGAAGTAGGCCGGGTGGCGTGGGGGCAGGGCTGCGAGGAGGGCCGACAGCTCTGCCTGCGCTGGTCCCCAGAAGCGGCCGCGGGCTGCCTGCAGACCCGCGCACGCGCACTAGACCGCCCAGCTCCCGGGCCCTGGGCGGGTTCTGGGGTTCCCTAGATGCTGGGGAGAGAATGACAGCACAGCCCCGCCCTGTGTGCTGTCTCTCACCGGACGGACCTAGAACTGAGGGCTCCCAGGCAGGTCAGCGAAACGGCAAGACAGGCCGCAGGAGCCTCAAATCCATGCACACGCGCGCACGCGCACACCCAGCCGATCACAGGCTGAAGTCGGAAATCACGCTTCAATCGGCCCGAGGGTGACCCCTGTGGGGATGAGACTGCCTCGCGCTCCGTTGCAGGGTTCGCCGTGGGGATATGCCGTCTGTGAACCCCGTGGGTGAAACGAGGACTGGCACGCATCGCATTGAGCTCCCGAAATGCTTTAAGGCTGTGGGGTCCCTCCGTTGGTCCTGGAGGCAGGAGACCGCTCTAATCTCTGCCTATGTCCCTCTGTCCCGTGGTCCCTCTCTCTCCCCCTCTGTTCCACCCTGTTCCCGTCTTTCCCTTTCTTCCTCAGTCCCTCCAAACCTCGGTTTCTTCCTTTCTCTCCCCCTTTCTCTCTTTCTCCTTTTCACCCTCCCTTCGCTCCCTGGGTCCCTCCCTGTGCGTCCCTCCCTGTCCCTCGGTCCCTGCCTCCCTCCCTTCCTCCCTCTCTCCCTTCCGTCCTTTCCTCCCTTCACTCGTCCCTCCCTCTGGTCCTGGGATCCTCTCCCCATCTCTAGCCGCCATCCCTCGCGCCTGGAGAGGGCAGTCCAAGCGTTTGCTCGCGGGGTAGACGGGGTTGGGGGTGGGGGGAAGGGTGGTCTCGGGGCCGCACTGGGCTGCCCGGCGCTGCTCCGTGACGGTGGGAGGGGGAGGCTGGCGGGTTACCGGTGTGCCAGTGATGGGTGGGCGGAGCGGGGAGGCAAGAAGAGGCGTGTCGCGGATTGGAGAGCGGCCCCGCCTTCGGACCCGGCCCGGTGTTTCCCGGGCAAAGCGCCCCCTCTGCCCACCCTCCTGAAGTACGCGGGGTGGCGTGGGGGCAGGGCTGCGAGGAGGGACGACAGCTCTGCCTGCGCTGGTCCCCCGAAGCGCAGCGCCGCGGGCTGCCTGCAGACCCGCGCCGGCGCACTAGACCGCCCAGCTCCCGGGCCCTGGGCGGGCTCTGGGGTCCCCAAGATGCCCGGGATAGAAGGACGGCACAGCCCTGCCCTGTGTGTAGTCTCTCACCGGACGGACGGACCTGGCACTCAGGGATCCCAGACAGGTCAGCGGGAGGGCGAGACGCCAAGACACGCCGCTGGAAGCGGAGCCACACGGTCACCTCACGGCGGGAGAGAGGCCACCGCCCTGCCCCCACCCCTCCCCGACCCGCGCGCGCCTTTTAAAGCTCCTCCAGCAGAGCCCGGTATTCTTCCTCGCTGAGGGGTGGCTCCAGGGAAGCGAGCTCTTCCACCTCCTTCAGCTCCCCCAGTGGCTCCGTCTCTAGGAAAGGTCGTGCCTGCTGCTGAAACTCTGGGGTCGACAGGAGCTCGTCCAGCAGGCTGGAGGTGAGCGCAGACGAGCGCTCCTCCGGCTCCTGGAGCGCTTGGGAAGGCGCCTGCAGGGCTGGCATCTGCCCCTGCCAGGCGGAGGCCTCCGGGGGTGCGGGCTGCGGAGGTGGAGGTGGCGCGGCTTGGGGTTCCCCTGCCGCCCCGGCCACCTGGGGCCCCTGGCCCCAGCCCCACCAGGGACCCTGCACACCTCGCCCCTGTGAGTCGGCTTGAGCGGGCCCAAGCTGTCCCACGGAGCACGTCCCCGGCAGGCCGGCGTGCTGCGGCTCCCGCTCCTCGTGGCATCTGCCCGGGTGCGGAGGCCCCGGAAGGCTCTGAGGCTGGGGGAGCGCCACCCCCGAAGGAGCCAGGGCGGCGAACCCGAAAGCCCCGAGGGCCCCGAGCGCCGGGTCAGGTTGCGAGATTCCTTCTGCCTGTGGGGCCTGTCCGTGCAGGAGCAGGGGCACGGCCCCTGCTGCCTGGCTCACGACGGGCCCCTGTGGGAGGGCCCCAGGCGCGCAGGGCACTTGGGGTGCGGGAAGCGCCGCCCCCCACGCCCCGGTGTGGGTGGAGGCGACCCAGGAGCGAGCAGAGGAGCCGCGCCCGCCGGGGGCCGTGTCGCGCGGGCCGCCTGCGGCCGCGGGTCCCCTGCCAGCCCGGCCTGGATGCCTGGCCCTTCGATTCTGAAACCAAATCTGAATCCTGGACTCCGGGAGGCCCGTCTCTCTGGCCAGTTCCTCCCTGGTGGCGAAGTCCGGAAAGCGCTCTCGCTCGAAGGCCCGGAGGAGCACGGCGGTCTGGGACTGGGTCACGGCCGTCCGCTTTCGCCGGCCTTCTGGCGGGCCGCGTGGCCCAGGCCAGGGCCTGGATTCCCGCCGGTGCTGCCTCAGCCGGCGCGATCTCTCGTTCTGAAACCAAATCTGGACCCTGGGCTCCGGAACGCCGATGGCCTGGGCCAGCTGTTCTCTGGTGGCCATGCCCGGGTACGGGTTCCGCTCAAAGGACGCTCGCAGGGCGTCCCTCTGGCTCGGAGTCCAAACGAGCCTCTTTCGCCTTCCTCGCCCTCGGGCCTCCGCCGGGAGAGGGCTGCCGGGAGCTGTGGGGAGAGCCATCGCGGGGAGACCGGGCCGAGTGTCACAGACAGACACAGGCACACAGAGGCCCGGCGGCTCCCGCGCGCCTCAGCCAACCTCTGCTGTGCACCGCACCTGCAGGCAGGTCAAGCCAGGAGTCCGGCCCCGCCAGCCAGGGGCCGCTTTTATAGAGACCTAGCGGCCCCACCCCTTCCTGAATTTGCATGAGCTCCGGGGACCCAGGGCGGGGTAGCCCGCCCTCTCAAGCCGGAAACCACAGGGACACCAGGGCCCTGTGGGGTGGTCGGGGGTGGGGCCTGAGCGGCGGGGGAGGGACACGCGGGGCTTCGGGGGCTGGACCTCTGGGGTTCTCCAGGAATTCTACGGAAACTGGAAGCCTCTCTCCGGGCTCGAACACGTCACCAGGGAGGGTGGCGTGCAGAAGCGAACCCCCGTGACAGGCCTGAGTTTTCCAAGCCCCCCCTCTCCGTCAAGGCGTCCACGTCTGTGGGTGTCGCCGTGGCCGCGACACTCTCACACACGCAGCTGCGTGGATCCGGTTCGTGTTCCTCTAGAAAACGAGAGCGAAGGCACGGAGACAGAAACTCTCCCGGGCAGAGACGGCCTGACGAGGCATTCCTGTTTCCTGCCACACGGGGAGTCTCGGCAACCTGGATAGAAAGGGCAGCGACACGCTGCTGCTTTTCCACGGATCCCTGGGAGTTTCTGTTTCCCCGCCGAGCTCGGGGAAGAAAACGGTGAACGTCATCAGGTCACCACGACTTAGGAAGCCACAGAGAGCTGAGCGACAGGCACCCTTGCGGAGGTCACATACAAAAGTTAAAAAAAAATTAGCCGGGCGTGGTGGCAGACGCCTGTAACCGCAGCGACTTGGGAGGCTGGGGCAGGAGAATTACCGGAACCCGAGGGGTGGAGGTTGCGGTGAGCCGAGATCCGGCCATTGAACTCCAGCCTGGGCGAGAGGGCGAGACTCCGTCTTTTAAAAAAAGAAGAAAAACGAAACAAAACGAAAAACAAAGAAAGACAACACCGCGACCAACAACCACAACCCAGAGGCATTCCAACATATAAAACGCCAGGTCGAAAGGTCGCATCCTGCTTTTGCCTTGTGAGTCATCCTCTTGGCACTCTGCCACGCGTACTTTCCCTCCTTCTCTTCCGCTTCCGAAGCTTCTTCATACACGTTTACTGCTGCTCGGAAACTCTCCTGCTTTACGGCCCTCGGTGGAGTCGTTTCTCCTGAGGAGGCAAGAATCGCGGTTTCTGTAGACTCACACCCCTAGGAATTCCTTTGCCCTAACAGGCAACAGGTAGGAGAAATGAGGGACATCGCCTCGGTGCTGGTCCAGAAATAGGTCACCGTACCGTATCCGGGGAAAGCCCCAAAAAGGGTCATTACCTAGGTGAAGTGCTTAGAAATATATCCCAATACCTCCTGTGGGTAGGACCACGTGAGAAGAGAAGAGTTAAATAGCCTAGAGGCTGTGCTCAGCTGTATGTCCCAATCAGCCCGGTGGGAAAAGCCAAGGCGTAATACGAGAGACAGGTCGTGTAGGTGCTGAGTCAGGTGAAATGTTCCATTTCAGTGTCGGTGGACACTTCCCAGGAAGAAGGGGGCGACACAGGCCACCCAGCAGAAGAGACCAAAAGTATGTCATGATGATACCTGTGGACGAGAACCCAGACAAGGGGACCGCATCGCCTGTGTGCCGGGCCCGGTGACAAGTCACTCTTTCTTTTGTAAGCGCAGCCCAGTCAGGCGAGCACAGTTACCTCACCTGGGTGCTGGGCCCAGAGACAAGCCACATCCGCTCCTGTGGGCAAAGAGCAGGGGTAACAAGACAATCACTGAGAATAGTTGAGTCCCCAGACATGACGTCACAATGGTCTCTGTGGGCAGGGTTCACGCAGGGGACTCACATCACATTGACTGTGGACTCAACAGTGTGTCGCAATGCTTTCTGAGAAGAGGGTCATGACAGAGAAGGAATGTAACTGGATGGCGGGCCCAGCAATATGTTATTGACTCCTATGTGAGCAGATATGAGGCAAGAGAAGGGAATCACAGCATCCTAGTTATGAGCACAGACATATGTCCCAAAGCCCCAAGCATGAGGTGCCAAGGCAGGAGGACAGTGTCACACGACCTAGGTGCTGGGTCCCACCCTACCCCCCACCCTCCGTCCCTCCCTCACTCCCTTCCCCCTCCCTCTCTCCCTTGCGTCCTTCCCTCCCTTCCCTCGTCCCTCCCTCGCGGCCTGGGATCCTCCCCGCTTCTCTACCCGCCTTCCCTCCGGCCTGGAGAAAGCAGCCCTTCCGTTTGCCCGCGGGGTCGTTCGTAGCGGGGCCGTGGGAGGAGTGGTCTCGGGTCTATATTGAGCTGCCAGGCGCTACTCGGTGATGGCGGGGAAGCTGGCGGGGCACCGGTGTGCGAGTGATCGGTGGGCGAATCGGGGAGGCAGAAGAGGGGTGCAGCGGAATGGAGAGCCGGCCTGCCTGGGGACCCGGCCCGGTGTTTCGGGGGGGGGGGGGGCGAAACGCTCCCTCCGCCCACCCTCCTGAAGTAGGCCGGGTGGCGTGGGGGCAGGGCTGCGAGGAGGGCCGACAGCTCTGCCTGCGCTGGTCCCCAGAAGCGGCCGCGGGCTGCCTGCAGACCCGCGCACGCGCACTAGACCGCCCAGCTCCCGGGCCCTGGGCGGGTTCTGGGGTTCCCTAGATGCTGGGGAGAGAATGACAGCACAGCCCCGCCCTGTGTGCTGTCTCTCACCGGACGGACCTAGAACTGAGGGCTCCCAGGCAGGTCAGCGAAACGGCAAGACAGGCCGCAGGAGCCTCAAATCCATGCACACGCGCGCACGCGCACACCCAGCCGATCACAGGCTGAAGTCGGAAATCACGCTTCAATCGGCCCGAGGGTGACCCCTGTGGGGATGAGACTGCCTCGCGCTCCGTTGCAGGGTTCGCCGTGGGGATATGCCGTCTGTGAACCCCGTGGGTGAAACGAGGACTGGCACGCATCGCATTGAGCTCCCGAAATGCTTTAAGGCTGTGGGGTCCCTCCGTTGGTCCTGGAGGCAGGAGACCGCTCTAATCTCTGCCTATGTCCCTCTGTCCCGTGGTCCCTCTCTCTCCCCCTCTGTTCCACCCTGTTCCCGTCTTTCCCTTTCTTCCTCAGTCCCTCCAAACCTCGGTTTCTTCCTTTCTCTCCCCCTTTCTCTCTTTCTCCTTTTCACCCTCCCTTCGCTCCCTGGGTCCCTCCCTGTGCGTCCCTCCCTGTCCCTCGGTCCCTGCCTCCCTCCCTTCCTCCCTCTCTCCCTTCCGTCCTTTCCTCCCTTCACTCGTCCCTCCCTCTGGTCCTGGGATCCTCTCCCCATCTCTAGCCGCCATCCCTCGCGCCTGGAGAGGGCAGTCCAAGCGTTTGCTCGCGGGGTAGACGGGGTTGGGGGTGGGGGGAAGGGTGGTCTCGGGGCCGCACTGGGCTGCCCGGCGCTGCTCCGTGACGGTGGGAGGGGGAGGCTGGCGGGTTACCGGTGTGCCAGTGATGGGTGGGCGGAGCGGGGAGGCAAGAAGAGGCGTGTCGCGGATTGGAGAGCGGCCCCGCCTTCGGACCCGGCCCGGTGTTTCCCGGGCAAAGCGCCCCCTCTGCCCACCCTCCTGAAGTACGCGGGGTGGCGTGGGGGCAGGGCTGCGAGGAGGGACGACAGCTCTGCCTGCGCTGGTCCCCCGAAGCGCAGCGCCGCGGGCTGCCTGCAGACCCGCGCCGGCGCACTAGACCGCCCAGCTCCCGGGCCCTGGGCGGGCTCTGGGGTCCCCAAGATGCCCGGGATAGAAGGACGGCACAGCCCTGCCCTGTGTGTAGTCTCTCACCGGACGGACGGACCTGGCACTCAGGGATCCCAGACAGGTCAGCGGGAGGGCGAGACGCCAAGACACGCCGCTGGAAGCGGAGCCACACGGTCACCTCACGGCGGGAGAGAGGCCACCGCCCTGCCCCCACCCCTCCCCGACCCGCGCGCGCCTTTTAAAGCTCCTCCAGCAGAGCCCGGTATTCTTCCTCGCTGAGGGGTGGCTCCAGGGAAGCGAGCTCTTCCACCTCCTTCAGCTCCCCCAGTGGCTCCGTCTCTAGGAAAGGTCGTGCCTGCTGCTGAAACTCTGGGGTCGACAGGAGCTCGTCCAGCAGGCTGGAGGTGAGCGCAGACGAGCGCTCCTCCGGCTCCTGGAGCGCTTGGGAAGGCGCCTGCAGGGCTGGCATCTGCCCCTGCCAGGCGGAGGCCTCCGGGGGTGCGGGCTGCGGAGGTGGAGGTGGCGCGGCTTGGGGTTCCCCTGCCGCCCCGGCCACCTGGGGCCCCTGGCCCCAGCCCCACCAGGGACCCTGCACACCTCGCCCCTGTGAGTCGGCTTGAGCGGGCCCAAGCTGTCCCACGGAGCACGTCCCCGGCAGGCCGGCGTGCTGCGGCTCCCGCTCCTCGTGGCATCTGCCCGGGTGCGGAGGCCCCGGAAGGCTCTGAGGCTGGGGGAGCGCCACCCCCGAAGGAGCCAGGGCGGCGAACCCGAAAGCCCCGAGGGCCCCGAGCGCCGGGTCAGGTTGCGAGATTCCTTCTGCCTGTGGGGCCTGTCCGTGCAGGAGCAGGGGCACGGCCCCTGCTGCCTGGCTCACGACGGGCCCCTGTGGGAGGGCCCCAGGCGCGCAGGGCACTTGGGGTGCGGGAAGCGCCGCCCCCCACGCCCCGGTGTGGGTGGAGGCGACCCAGGAGCGAGCAGAGGAGCCGCGCCCGCCGGGGGCCGTGTCGCGCGGGCCGCCTGCGGCCGCGGGTCCCCTGCCAGCCCGGCCTGGATGCCTGGCCCTTCGATTCTGAAACCAAATCTGAATCCTGGACTCCGGGAGGCCCGTCTCTCTGGCCAGTTCCTCCCTGGTGGCGAAGTCCGGAAAGCGCTCTCGCTCGAAGGCCCGGAGGAGCACGGCGGTCTGGGACTGGGTCACGGCCGTCCGCTTTCGCCGGCCTTCTGGCGGGCCGCGTGGCCCAGGCCAGGGCCTGGATTCCCGCCGGTGCTGCCTCAGCCGGCGCGATCTCTCGTTCTGAAACCAAATCTGGACCCTGGGCTCCGGAACGCCGATGGCCTGGGCCAGCTGTTCTCTGGTGGCCATGCCCGGGTACGGGTTCCGCTCAAAGGACGCTCGCAGGGCGTCCCTCTGGCTCGGAGTCCAAACGAGCCTCTTTCGCCTTCCTCGCCCTCGGGCCTCCGCCGGGAGAGGGCTGCCGGGAGCTGTGGGGAGAGCCATCGCGGGGAGACCGGGCCGAGTGTCACAGACAGACACAGGCACACAGAGGCCCGGCGGCTCCCGCGCGCCTCAGCCAACCTCTGCTGTGCACCGCACCTGCAGGCAGGTCAAGCCAGGAGTCCGGCCCCGCCAGCCAGGGGCCGCTTTTATAGAGACCTAGCGGCCCCACCCCTTCCTGAATTTGCATGAGCTCCGGGGACCCAGGGCGGGGTAGCCCGCCCTCTCAAGCCGGAAACCACAGGGACACCAGGGCCCTGTGGGGTGGTCGGGGGTGGGGCCTGAGCGGCGGGGGAGGGACACGCGGGGCTTCGGGGGCTGGACCTCTGGGGTTCTCCAGGAATTCTACGGAAACTGGAAGCCTCTCTCCGGGCTCGAACACGTCACCAGGGAGGGTGGCGTGCAGAAGCGAACCCCCGTGACAGGCCTGAGTTTTCCAAGCCCCCCCTCTCCGTCAAGGCGTCCACGTCTGTGGGTGTCGCCGTGGCCGCGACACTCTCACACACGCAGCTGCGTGGATCCGGTTCGTGTTCCTCTAGAAAACGAGAGCGAAGGCACGGAGACAGAAACTCTCCCGGGCAGAGACGGCCTGACGAGGCATTCCTGTTTCCTGCCACACGGGGAGTCTCGGCAACCTGGATAGAAAGGGCAGCGACACGCTGCTGCTTTTCCACGGATCCCTGGGAGTTTCTGTTTCCCCGCCGAGCTCGGGGAAGAAAACGGTGAACGTCATCAGGTCACCACGACTTAGGAAGCCACAGAGAGCTGAGCGACAGGCACCCTTGCGGAGGTCACATACAAAAGTTAAAAAAAAATTAGCCGGGCGTGGTGGCAGACGCCTGTAACCGCAGCGACTTGGGAGGCTGGGGCAGGAGAATTACCGGAACCCGAGGGGTGGAGGTTGCGGTGAGCCGAGATCCGGCCATTGAACTCCAGCCTGGGCGAGAGGGCGAGACTCCGTCTTTTAAAAAAAGAAGAAAAACGAAACAAAACGAAAAACAAAGAAAGACAACACCGCGACCAACAACCACAACCCAGAGGCATTCCAACATATAAAACGCCAGGTCGAAAGGTCGCATCCTGCTTTTGCCTTGTGAGTCATCCTCTTGGCACTCTGCCACGCGTACTTCTATTATCCAAGTCCTGGCCAACCCTGACCCTGCTTAGCTTCCAGGTTCAAGGTGGTATGCCCTTAGATGCCAGCAGAGAGCGCTTGGCAGCCCCAACTGCCAGCAGATCCCAAAGCTGTGGTAGGTCCCGTGAGACGAGAAGAGTTCTAGAGGAGTTCAGCTGGGTACGCAGCCCGGTGGGAAAAGAGGCGACGGAGAAGGTCGTGGGTGCGATCAGGGAAGTTCCCAGTGCGAATGAAGGAAGAAATGGGCGAGGCCACCCAGCAGAGAGAGTCAGATGTCCACTACTGGAGAGAACCCAGACAGGGACCGCATCCTGTGTGCCGGGCCCCCAACTCTGTGTAGTTTTCAGGATCAGCGTGGTACGGCCATAGATGCCAGCAGGGGGCACCTAGCTTCCCCAAGGGCCCACGGAGCTGCCGTGGTGGGCCCCCACGAGGAGTTTCCAAGCTGCAGCGGAGGCTCTGGTAGGCAAAAAGGGAAAGAGAAGGGTCAAAAATTGGTTGGGAATCGTGGCAACTCAAGGGTAAGAGAAAGATAGAGCAGGAAGCCAAAAGCCCGCCTTTGTTGGTGTTCCCTGGTGGACACACATTCACGTCCTTGTTGGGCCCAACCCTGCTTAGCTTCTGGGATTAGGGTAGTGTTGCCTTAGATGCCGGCAGAGGGTGCCTGGTTGCCTCAAGGGCAGTGGAGCTGTCCTGACGGTCCCCCACAATGAGACCTTGGGCTGCGATGGCTAAGCAGACGGGCAGAAAGGGGAAGAAAAAGTCAGGGGCAATTGGGAAGCTTGGTGAGCAAATGGGGAATTGGTCCCACCGCTTCTGGTATCTCCAGGCGGACTTTCATCCAAGTCCTGGCCAGGCTCGACCCTGCTAGGCTTCCGGGATCAAGGTGATATCGCCTTTACGTCAGCAGAAGCCCCTGACCACCCCAAGTGTTTGTGGAGCTGTCGCAGCAAGCCCACACGAGGTGGTTTCAGGCACCTTGCCAGCAGGCGCTGGCAGGTGAAAAGGGTAAGAGAATTGTCAGGGAGTGGTTAGGAAGACAGGTGACCTAAGAGGGGGAAAGGGAGGCAGCCAGAAGCCAACAATCCACTGCTTCCGGTATTCACATGTGGTTTCCCATTCAAGTCCTGTTCAAGCCCGACCCTGCTTAGCTACCAAAATCAGGGCGCTATGGCTGTAGATGCCAGCGGTGGGCACGTGACCACCCCAGGGGCACACGGGGCTGCCACAGGGGACCCCTACACAAAGATCCCACACTACAGCAAGAGCGCAGCCATGTAGAAAATGGGGAGGGGAGTCAGGGAGTGGATGGGAAGTGTGGCAACCCAAAAGGAAAAAAGGGAGAAAGTAGGAAGCCAAAATCACAACGCTTCCAGTATTCACAGACCATTTCCTATCCAAGTCCGACCCTGCTTAGCTTTTGGGATCCGGGTGGTATGGCTGTAGACACTAGCAGGGGCTGCCTGGACGTCCAAAAACCCGAGGTGCTACCTCAGTGGGCCTCCAAGATGAGGTCCAGAGCCCCAGTGATGATGCAGGGGGCGGAAAAGATGGAGAGAAGAGCCCGGGGGGCAGTTTGAAAGACCTGTGACTGAAGGTAGCAAAAGGGAGGAATCGAGAAGCCAAAATCTCACCACTCACGGTATCCCCAAGCTGTCTCCAGTCCAAGTCCTGGCCTGGCCCCATCCTAGTTAGCTTCCCGGATAAGGGTGTTATGGGCATAGATGCCAGCAGGGGGTGCCTGGCCACACCAAGGTCTTGCGGAGCTGCCGTGGCAAGCTTCCGGCGCGGGTGAAGGCGGGTGGAAAGGGGACAGACAAAAGACAGGGAGAGGTTGGAAAGCCCAATGACCCAAGCAAGAGAGAGGGAGAAAGTGAGAAACCATTTCCTATGATTCCAGGCAGTCTCCCATACCAAGTCCTGACCCTGCTTAGCTTCCAGGATCAGTGGGGGATTGTTGCAGGACAAGCTACTGACAGAACACCTCAGACACCTGACTGAGAAGAAAGAGGCTTTATTCAGCTAGCTGTGGAGCGTCAGTGGACTTGCATCCAGAAGGCTAGCTCCCCAAAAAGCAGTTTCTTTCCCTTTTTAAAGGCATACAACACAAAGGGAAGAAGAGGTAAAACTGTGTCATTGACCATTTGGCTGGACATCCATCTGACCTTACAGTCTTTGGCTTTCATTAATTTGCTAATTTACATGAGGAAAATGCAGGAAGGAGAAAGGGGAAGACTTACAGAAGCTAAACAAAGGCAGTAAATCACTCGGTGATGGAGGTATTTATTTCTAAGGAGGGGTCTAGAATGTACAAATGTGGAGTACATGCCTCCCCAAGCTGTACCTCCGGGCAGGTCCTTGGGCTGCAGAAAAAACATTCTCTTGCAAGTTTTCGAGGTTGATAGAGAACATAGGCACCAGTTACAGAGAGGGGAGTTATTTTGTCAGCCCTTGGGCCCCTCTGCAGTTAGGCCGGTGGTATCAGCGAGCCGCCCAACCACTGACGTCAACTTTGTGCTATTTTATATCCCCTCCCCCCTTTTCTAACAGAAAACAGTGAGAGAGATGGTCTCTCTCAGTACGGCCGCAGAAAAAGCTGTGGAGCTCCAGTGGGAAGCTCTCACGATAAGGACCTGGGCTGTGATGGCCACATAGATGGTCAGAAAGCGGGAAAGAAGAGTAAAAGAATGGTTGGGACGAGTAACGATCCAATGGAGAAAGAGGGAGGGAGCAAGAATCAAAAAGTCCACCACTTCTGGAATTTCCAGCAGGACTCCCATTCAAGTCCTGGCCAGGTCAGATTCTGCTTAGCTTCCGGGATCATGGTGGCATTGCCATAGGAGCCAGCAGAAAACCCTGGCAGCCCCAAGGTTTTGCCGACCTGCCTTGGCGGGCCCACACGAGATGGTCTCAGTCACTGGCAGAGGTGCCAGAAGGCGGAAAAGAAGAAGAGAAGGGTCAAGGGGCTGTTGGGAAGCCCAGGGACCAAAGAGGAAAAGAGGGAGGAAACAGGAAGCCAAAACCTACCACTTCTGGTATTCTTTGATGGTCTCCCATTTAAGTCCTGTTCAGGCCCTACCCTGCTTAGCATCTAAAATCATTGTGGTATTGACATAGACGCAGGCATGGGGCGGCCACGCGTGGCGACCGAACTGGGAAAGAGGGAGGGAGCAGAAATTGAAAAGCCCACGGCTTTTGGTATCCCAGGGTGGTCTTGCATCCACGTCCTGGCCAGGACCGACCCTGCTTAGCTTCTGAGATAAGAGTGGTATGCCTGTAGACGCCGGCAGGAGGCGCCAGGCTGCCCCAAGTTTCTGCAAATCTGCGCGGAAGGACCCCATGAGGAGCCTGTGGCGGGGATGCAGGTGGGTTGAAAAGGCGGAGAGAAGAGTCAGGCGGTGGTTGGGAAGTTTGGTGACCCAAAAGAAAAGGAGCAAGAAGCCAAAAGCGTAAGACTTCCAGTATTCCCAGTCAGGCTCCCTTCCAAGTCGTGGCTGGGCCTGACCCTTCTTCTTGGCTTCCAGGATTAGGGTGTTATGGCCAGAGATGCTGGCAGGGGGCGCCTTGATGCACCAAGAGTCAGCAGAGCTGCCGCAGCGGGGCCCCACAAGGAGAGCCTGAACTTTGGCTGGGGCCTAGTTGGGTGGAAAATGGAGAGAGAAGAGTAAGGGGTCAGTTGGAAAGCTCAACGACCAAAGGGGATCAGAGAAAGGGAGTGGGAAGCCAAAAGCCCATCACTTTCGGTATTCCCAGGTGTTCTTCCATCCAAGTCCTGGACGGGTTTGACCCTTCTTAGTTTCTGGGATTAGGATAGTATAGCTGAACACACCAGCAAGAGGCACCTTGTTGACCCATCGTCCTGCAAAGCTGCCGCGGTGGGCCCCCACGAGATTGACCCAGCCTGGGATGGGGGCGACAGCAGGAAAAAAGGGGTAAAGAAGGCTCATGGGGCAGTTGGGAAGCCAGGCAACCAAAGGAGGGAAGAGTGAGGCAATGAGAAGTAAAAAGCAAACCGCATTTGGTATTACCAGGCAGTCTCCCATTCAAGTACTGGATAGGTCCGACCCTGCTTAGCTTCTGGGATCAGGGTGGGATGGCCGTAGACGCTGGCAAGAGGCACCTTGCCGCCCCAAGGGCCCAGGGAGTGGCCTTGGCTTGCCCCCATTAGAAGGTCTTGGGCTGTGGTGTGGGTGCAGGTGGGCAGAAAAAGGGGAGAGAAGTCGGGGGCAGGTGGGAAGCATGGCGAGTTCAGGAGAAAAGTGGGAGAAAGGGAGAAGCCAAAAGCTCACCATCCCCAGTATTTTCATGCGGTCTCCCATCCAAGTCCTGGCTGAGCCCGACCCTGCTTAACTTCCAAGATCAGAATAGTATGGCTGTAGAAGCCGGCAGGGGGCACCTGCCCGCTCCAAGGGCATGCGGAGCTGCAGCTGGGGGCTCCCCTGATAAGGTTTTGGGCTGTTACAACGCACAGGCAGGTGGAAAGTGGGGAAAGAAGAGTCCGGGGCGGTTGAAAAATATGGCAAACAATCGGGGAAAGAGAATGTGAGAGGGAAGAAAAAAGGCCAATGCTTCTGGTATTCCCAGGCAATCTCCCATCCAAGTCCTGGCCAGGCTCGATCCTGATTAGCTTTCAGAATCAGGATGGTATGGGTGTAGAGGCAAGCAGGAGGCGCCTGGTTGCCCCAAGAGGTATCACTGAAGGCTTTAATGAGAACGTCCCTGGCTGCAGCGGGAACGCAGGCAGGTGGAAAATGGGCAGAGAAGAGTCCGGGAGTGGTTGGGAAGTGTGCCAACCCAAGGCGGAAAGAGAGAGAGCAGAAAGCCAAAAGCACGTGTCTTGTGGTATACCCAGGTGGTCTCTTTTCCAAGTCCAGTTCAAGCCCAACCCTGCTTCGCTTCCAGAATCAGAGTGGTATTGCCATAGATGCTGACAAGGGGTACCTCGCTGCCCAAAATGCCCACAAGGCTACCACGGCAGGCCCC